GAAAAGCTGGACCAGGTGGCCGCCTTACAAATCTGTTCTGGTGAGGCACCGTCTCTCTCTGCCCAGGACGCTGACAAGGATCTGGTTGAGTGTGCCTTAACAAACGGGGTGGATTTGGAAGCTTTGGAACCCTTCTAAGCGCCTGCAAAAAGAACAAAAAGAGCATCCGAATTCCTGAACTCTCTGGATCTACTAAGATAGACCAAAAGGCTCTAACATCCAATAAACTTAATCTTTCCTCCTCCCTTCTTGCAGGAGCAGAACAGAAGGTCGGCAAATTATAGTTTGAGACCTATGAAAGGAGGAGGAAACCTTAGGAACAGTGGGCGGACTGACCATTTGGAAACTCGGGCACTGCCCAAGGGCCCGGGTCAGTAGGGGGCCCCATGAGATGCCCCTGGTACCTTTTCATAGGCTTTTTTGAGTTTGGGCAAGGACACAGGGGCCCCATGATCCCCTATTGCCTGGGGGCCCCATGAGTTGTCAGTCCGTCCCTGCTTAGGAACAAATCCAGGATCTGTTTTGAGCACAATTCTATCCTCGAAAACGGAAAAAAAGGGCTCCCTTTTGGAAAGCGCCTGCAATTCACTCATCCTACGGCCGATGTGATTGCTATCAGAAAAACAGTTTTTAGAGTTAAAAACTTAATTGAACATTTCTCCAGAAGTTCAAATGGACAAAGGACAAAAGCTTTTAGAACCAAAGATAGATCTCAAACTGGATAAGACCTGACCGCTGCTGGCCTGGACTTGGAAAGGGCCCTGAATAAAAATTTGTTATAAAGGGATCTTGCTGGAGGGAGATCTGAAGAAAACACTAAGGGCTGAGGCTTGCACCTTTTAAAGTGCTAACAAATAAGGCCCTGATCTGCCCCATCCTGAACGAATCTAACACGGCCAGGATATTCGGAAGTGCCCCACCCCTTACCTAGCAGCCAGGAGTTTAATTTTTTCCAGACATTAGCGTAAAGAGCTCTGGTAATGGTTTGTGGCAGTTCACTAAAGTCCTTATTAGTCCTGAACTTTCAGGAGTTGTTCTTCAGAAGCCACGCTGCCGACCTCAGGTTCTGACTCGAGGGTGTAGCACGGGACCCTGAGAGATCAGATCTACCCTCTCTGGAAGGGGGAAACCGAGGCTAGGCTCCGCAACAGAGAAAACCATAGCCTCTTCGGCCAGAATGGTGCTACCAGAATGTGGTTTGTTTTTTCCAACAGAAACTTCTGCAGGACCACTGGGATCAGCCTCACTAGAGGGAACGCATAACAGAGATTGAACTCCCGCGCCCTCACAAAAGCATCCACACCCAAAGCCTGATCTCGTACATTTAGGGAGAAGAACCGTCTGACTTTCCTGTTTTCCTGGGAAGCAAAGATCTCGGCATTTGGCATGCCCCACCTGAGAGTGATGCTCGTGAATATTTTGTGGTTGACACACTTCGTGTTTGACTGGATACTGACTTAGGAAGTCCGCTAGGGAATTTCAGATGAATGGCAGATATCGAAAGCAAGTTTTGCTCTGCCCAAGATAGAATGATGGAGAGGAGGGCTTCACGTACCCCCCCCCTGCTTGTTGATGTATGCCACCATAGCCAATTGTCTGAAAGGATCTGCAGGTGACGTCTAGTAGATCTGCCTGGAAGGCATCCCACGCTCGTTGGACTGCTAGAAGCTCTCTCTGATTTGAGGATCTCTGAGCCTCCTACAGACCACGACCCCTGGGCAGCTTTGTCGCCCAGATGGGGTTCCAACCAAAGTTGCTGGCATCAGTCGTAATGATAACCAGACAAGGAGAATTCCACTCCAGACCCTTGACTAGATTGACTTCTTTCTGCCACCACCAAAGGGACCTCTTGACCCTAGACGGGAACTGGACTGTCAGATCCAAAGATCTGTCCCTGTTCCAAACCCGCAGAAGAAGGGTCTGCAGTGGCAGCTGGGAATCTTGCCCAGGGGACAGCTGGGAAACATGAAGTCATGAGACCCACTGCCCTCATAATATCCCTTATTGTCATGGATAGATTGCTCTGCAATTCTGCTAGCATCTGACCTAAGAAACTTTTCTTTGGGAAGGAAGATCTCTCTCTCTGCTGAGGAAACCTCATACCCCAGATAGGTAGCTCTCTGGGAGGGAGTTAAGCATGACTTGTCCCTGTTTACAAGCCACCCCAGACTCAGAAGGAAGTTCTGAGCAGCTTGCAGATTCTCTGTCAGCTGTTGGTGAGACCTGGCCACGAAGAGGAGATCGTCCAGATAGGGAATAATCGTAATAGACCTCATTCTTAGGGGAGCTAAGGCCAAAGCACCTTCGTAAAAATTCTTGATGCGGAGGCCAGACCCAAAGGTAGAGCCCGACACTGCCAGTGGTGGATGTCTGAACCCATCTTTACCACTATTCTTAGATATTTCTGACACGCATGATGAATGGGAATGTGAAGATACGCATCCCTCAGATCCAACGTAGCCATGAAACAACCTGAGTAAAGGATGTTCCTTACAGAGAAGATCGATTCCATCCTGAAGTGTTTGTATCTAGAGACTGATTGAGGGGCGCATGTTTAGGATAAGGCAAAACTTTCCTGAGGGCTTTTTCACTACAAAAACATGGGAATAATATCCCCTCCCCTGCTCAGTCCGGGGAACTTGAGTAAGGACCTGCTGATCTACCAGGTCTCCAATTAGACCACACAGGGCCTGTTCCTTTTCCCGATCATTGGGAAGGTGGGTTACCAGATACCTGGCGGGGGTGACTGAAGTCTAACTCCAACCTGTACCCTTTCTCTATCAAGTCCAGGATGTATGGGTTTGAGGAGATTGAAGCCCACTGAGGGGGAAAGGTCCCCAGTCTTCCTCACATTGAGACGCTCAAGTCATTGAGACTTGGCGGAGCCCTGAGGAGGATTGAATAAGATCCCCCCTTTTCCCCTGTTCTTGTGCCCTGTCCAATGTTTCTTGGGCTGAAAATCCTTAACCTGCTGGGCCTGCGTCTTCTGACGAAAAACCCTCCTGGAGTAAGATCTCTTCTTACTCTCTGGAAATGCCCTCTTTTTATCGGCCGTATGCTCCAGAGCCTCCTCAAGACCTGGACCGAAAAGATTATCGGCAATAAAGGGTAAGGCACAAAGACGCAGTTTGGATGCAGAGTCCCCCTGCCCAGGTTTTTAACCATAAAACCCTTTTAGCTGAATTTACTAGGGCAGAGGTTCTTGAGGCTAGCTTAACTGATTCGGCTGAGGCATCTGCGGGAAAACCTACCACTTTAAACAGCAAAGGAAAGGAGACTGCACTCAGAGACTGGGGAAAGAGAAAAAAAAAACACCCCCAGGGATCAGCAAGAGGAAATCCAGAGACCCAAGCCTACCTGAGAGGAGCCGATGCCTGAAGAACCAGGGTCTGCTTGAGAGGGGCCAGCACCTTCCATCACGTCCCTCATGGTGTGAAGCCGCAGCCTCTGCTGGGTTTACACACTGCACCGACCTGATGCCTGTGCCGTTCTAGAGACTGGGACCACGAGTGTCAGGTGCCTGCCGATGATGACACTGCGACCGGAACTTCCGGTGCGTGCAGCGCACCTTCTGGAAATCACGGCTGCCCGCACGCCTCCCGGTGGTCTCTCTGCCCCACTGTGCATTGGCCGCCGCATTACCTCCCCCCCGCGGGGTGACCCAGAGGCTCAACAAGAGACTGCGCCGGGGGAGGGTACATCCCGCTCAAAGTCCCTTGTCTCCAGGATCCCTTCCGTGCTGGGCAGAATATATTACCGATGGTCATCCTCCACTGAGGCCTGGAAGGACACCAGGAGCGCAGCCCCACTCCCCAAACATGGAGGGATTGCGCCAGGCAGGAGCAGGTAAGCAGAACAGGAGCCTCCAGCAACCCCCTGAGCCTAGGACTTTCAAACAGCAGGTTCCTGTACTTGTCCCTCCGGAGGAAACACTAAAAACTTGAAGAGAGGCCTGGAGATCCGCCTTTTAAAGTACTGTGCTTACGTAGTTCCTGTCCCGGAGGGGGGAGCTCTACGTCTCAAGGAGACTGCCCTTGAAGACGTTTGGAGAAAAATCTGCTTTTCTAAAACAGCTCTATGAGAATTTTAGCACCCACTTTGAGGAGTTTACACTATAAAGTGAATGAATACAAACATAACCTGTTTTTACAGTAAGGGTCAGAAATACAGAGTGACCCTGTCTTACCTGTCCATGACATTCTAGGCTTCATGGTAAACATACCCCAATGGTCATCAGACTTTGGATTTCATAGGGATGGACAAACGGCACTGGACATAGGCTGACTATACGCATTGCATCAAGTGCTAAGATCAACACCTTTACAGGAATTCAGTGCAAAACTACATGCCATCCCCCATGACCTGGGTTCCAGGTTTGGCTCCCAAGGTTTTACTGTGGTTGCACTGAACCAGATGCACTGCTTCTATCATGGTATTGAAAGACAGTAAAGGAATGAAGAATCCAAAGATAAAATAATAAGCTAGTTAAGTCAAGAATGATTTCTCAGAAAAGCATAAGAGACCCATGACCTTAGGACACTAGCAAAAAACTGAATACTCTCAGAGTGGTGTAGGGTTATAAGGGAGGCACACTGGGGGCATGTCCTTTGCTCCTGGTGACAAACTGGCAGTGGGGTTTTTTTAAATATTTAGGGCAGTGCCTGTAAGTTTAAATGTGTGTGCATGGACACATAGGCTAACATGCAGGGGGCAAGTTATTGTAAGGCGAGAGGAAAAAAAAAAAAATAACTTATCTTATGACTATTGAAATGAAAACAGCAGATGCCCTCAGGAGCAGTTGTAAAATTGTCCAGCATGCTTAAGGCCTTCTTCAAAGGAAAAAAAAACAGTTATAAGTGTAAATATGAGTATTTATTGAGAATAATTTACATCTATACACAGTATAATCAAGAGTTATTGCACATTTCTATGATGTTTTGTAACAAATCAGACATTTTCTTGCAATAAAGACTGTACAAAACGTGCAGAGATGCCCTCCACTATTGCCCCAGAAAGGAGGCCATTGGGTCATCTGGCCTTTGGCGTTTCATTCTGTATGCCTCCATCTCTTCCTCTGTGGGTTCCCGTGTCTCATAAATACTGTTGTATGCTCTCTTCCTCTCATCCATCTGCATCATCTCCTGTACCTGCTTAAGACGTGTCTCTTCCGCATTCAAAGCCTACATTTAGAAAATAAATAATTATAGAAACACTGCAATGTTACACAGAATCATTTGAAATTTTCATATACGGTCACAAACACTAGCATAAAATGTGTACCATTGCTTGTATTTATTCTACAAATCAACTTTCCCTTAAACCAAGATTCCAGCACTCTTTCCAATCCCTGCCTATTTGAAGGCGAGTATGCAGTGGGGCTTTGTTAGAATAGCTTAAAGTGGAAAAATAAAAATGGGCAACATGCAGGATTTCTAATGCAGAAGAGACAAGCATGGTCTCTTCTGCATTAAAGTTACCTCACCTGCCTGTTCGCCCTTGTACAGAGAGCTGCCTGTAGCAATTTGGCAATGTCAAAGCTGACTGAACTTCCACACATGCACGGGAGTGACATCATATCAGCCCAGCCAATGAAAGCATCTGGCAATCAATACAAAGAAGTTGGCTGCTCAAAGATGTCAGCAGAGAGAGGGGAGCTCCAGAATGCCGTATCACTGTACTGAAGGCGAGTATAGTTCTGCTTTAAGATAATATATGTTTGGATAGTTAAAGGGGTTCTAAAGCCAAAACGGTTTTTACCTTAACACATTCCCTGCAACAACGTAAAAAAATGTTTTATAGCTTTCTGTCCTTCCCTCTTCCCTGTGTGAGTAGGAAAAGAGGGAAGAAGAGATCAAACGCTGTGCATGGCTGCATATTTTTTTTCTTTCTTGCTCTTCATACAGGACTCGAGCATCAGCAGGAGTCGTTGGCTCCTGTCAATCAAATGGTGTGAGGAGAAAGCGGGAGTGGAGCGAAGCCTTTTGTGTGTCTATGGAGTGCAGCAGGCATTGCGTGCCCCCACAAAAAGCAGCTTGCTATGGGGACACATGAAGAAGAGGAGGAGCCAAGATCACTGGCAGGGGACCCCAGAGAAGGTTCAGGGCCATTTTGTGCAATACCATTGCACAGAGCATGTGAGAGTAACATGTTTACTATCTACAACTTACATGCCCAATTATGTAGTGCAACGTACAGTGCACCATATAATTGGGCAACTACAGTATGTGGCAAATGAGGTTTAATGTTGATAAAAGTTATGCATTTGGGAACAAAAAACATGCATGCATCATGCATTCTAGGAGGAAAGCAGCTAGGGGAGTAAATGGTTGAGAAGAATCTGGGTGTTCTGGTAAACTTTAGACTTAATAATAGCATGCAATGCCAAGCTGCAGTTTCTAAAGCTAGCAAATGCTTTCTTAAATTAAGGCCTAATGCAACCTGGGTGTTTGGTCTTCTTCCATGAATGCCTAGCTTTCCTGGCAGGAAAGAGCAGTTTAACCACCTCCCGCCCGCCATATAGTCCAATGACGGGCGCAAGGTGGTTCTCTCGTTCTGGGAGGACGTCATATGACCGAGCCTTCCATTCTCACCGCGCATGCGGACACAGTGGATCACGATCTACGGAAAGAGCTGAAGATGTCGGCTCGGTCATGTGATCAGCTGTGTCCAATCACAGCTGATCACATGTAAACAGGGAAATGCCAGTTATCAGCATTTCTCTCCTCACAAGCTGTCACGCTGACAGCTCGAGAGGAGAGCCGGTAATCGGCATTCCGCGGAGGGGACATGTACACTGATCATCAGGGCACGGATAATCAGTGTGCCCTGATGATCAGTGTGTGGCCCCAGAAGTGCCACCTGTCAGTGTCCATCAGTGCCAGCTGCCAGTGCCACATATCAGTGCCTACCAGTGCACATCAATGCCACATATCAGTGCCCATCTGAGCTGCCTTTCAGTGTCACCCATCAGTGCCACCTATCAGTGCTGCCAATCTGTGCCGCCTATCAGTGTGCATCAGTGTCGCCTATCAGTGCCAGTCAGTGCCGACTATCAGTGCCGCCTTTCAGTGATGCCTGTCAATGTCCATCAGTGCCACCTATCAGTGCCACCTATCAGTGTCCATCAGTGCAGCCTATCAGTGCCCATCACTTCTGCCTCATTAGCGCACATCAGTGAAAGGAGAAAAAAAATCACTTATTTGCAAAATTTTACAACAAAAACTAAGAAAAAAACTTTTCTTTTTCAAAATTTTCAGCAGTTTTTGGTTTGTTTAAGAAAAAAAAATAAAAAACCCAGAGGTGATTAAAGACCACCAAAATAAAGCTCTGTCATAAAAAAATTATAAAAATTTCATATGGGTACAGTGTTGCATGACCACGCAATTGTCATTCAAAATGTGACAGCGCTGAGAGCTGGAAATTGGCCTGGGCAGGAAGGGAGTATAAAAAAATAAAGAAAAACAGTGCAAACATAGACCTCTAAATAAAATCAATATACAAAGTGCAAACATAAATGAAAAATTGATCAATAGTGAAGTCCATCAAGATAAACCAAAGTTCAAAAAATCTCAAAAAATATTTGTGCAAAAAGAAATATTTTCAAATTCTTCTTCTATTATAAAGGAACTTCCACCTTCCACCCGTGAAAACCAATATCAAATGCACTCACCAGATATAGGTGAATAAAACGCCTCTTAGGAATTTTATGGGATCCTAAACCCTCTTTCGTATCCACTCTATAGGAATCCTCCTCTCCAGCATAGGCTCCACCATCCGACCAGGGAGAAAAAAATCTCAGATAGTGTAATATTGTAAGACACCATTCATAAGTGAAATCAAGGATTAAGGCCACTCACATTCAATTCACTTTAAAAAGGCATATTTATTAGGACCAGCTTCTTTCAGATGAACAGTAGATGCAAGGCAACCTCCCACGGAATCTCACATCACAGCTCCAGGTTACAGCAGAAGCTCTACAGAGACACCGCATATACAGATCCCAAAAGATGGCCGCTGGAACGCACCGCTCAGAGCGTGCGCTCCACTCACCGGAAGTGACGTCAGACGTACGGAGTAGAAACCGGAAATGCGTCAACGCGTTTCGCCCCTCCCATCGGGCGTTCTCAAGACGTTCATTTCCTGTCTGGAGCTCCCTTATATACCCAGCAGGGACCCACCCCTCCGTTCCAATTGGTCAAAACCCTCCCCGGGATTATCAAAAAAACCACTCCTCCTGTAATGTGACGTGAGAGTCCTTTACAGATGAGGTATATGCCCTACACAATTAGAAATCCTTTTTCAAGTTATTCCCGACACTGTTGAATTATCTCCCAGAAGCGACATGTATATTACCACATGTCCCCAGTGGGAAAAACACGAACAAAGTATTAAACAATGCCTCACTATTACAAAAACTTTCTTTAATATATGAGCAATGAATAATCATCACTACTAAATAGCAATAAAATGTAAAATTGGAACGGAGGGGTGGGTCCCTGCTGGGTATATAAGGGAGCTCCAGACAGGAAATGAACGTCTTGAGAACGCCCGATGGGAGGGGCGAAACGCGTTGACGCATTTCCGGTTTCTACTCCGTACGTCTGACGTCACTTCCGGTGAGTGGAGCGCACGCTGAGCGGTGCGTTCCAGCGGCCATCTTTTGGGATCTGTATATGCGGTGTCTCTGTAGAGCTTCTGCTGTAACCTGGAGCTGTGATGTGAGATTCCGTGGGAGGTTGCCTTGCATCTACTGTTCATCTGAAAGAAGCTGGTCCTAATAAATATGCCTTTTTAAAGTGAATTGAATGTGAGTGGCCTTAATCCTTGATTTCACTTATGAATGGTGTCTTACAATATTACACTATCTGAGATTTTTTTCTCCCTGGTCGGATGGTGGAGCCTATGCTGGAGAGGAGGATTCCTATAGAGTGGATACGAAAGAGGGTTTAGGATCCCATAAAATTCCTAAGAGGCGTTTTATTCACCTATATCTGGTGAGTGCATTTGATATTGGTTTTCACGGGTGGAAGGTGGAAGTTCCTTTATAATAGAAGAAGAATTTGAAAATATTTCTTTTTGCACAAATATTTTTTGAGATTTTTTGAACTTTGGTTTATCTTGATGGACTTCACTATTGATCAATTTTTCATTTATGTTTGCACTTTGTATATTGATTTTATTTAGAGGTCTATGTTTGCGCTGTTTTTCTTTATTTTTTTCATTATTTGTGTTGATCACAGTGCACAGCAGCAGGATAGAACCTGTAGTAGAGTGTTTCACTAGGCGCAGGAAGAATTTTTAGTTTTTTAGGAAGGGAGTATAAGTGCCCTGTAGGCAAGCGGTTAAGAAAACATTCCTAAGGACACATATTGGAGGTGCCTTTAGGCACAATTAAGCGTTTGAGTGTTTATTCGTTAATTTGAATGGCTGGAATAAATTAATACTCTGGCCCAATGGAATCCATAAACACTCAAAAACTAAACGCATCTAACATTTAGAAGTGTTTATGTGTTGTCAAGTGTTTTTTCTGCCCAAAAGCTCCTTAACTAAATGTGCTGGGGATGTTTGTTTTTTCCAGCCTGTAAACACTCCTCTTCTAATATGCCTGTAAACTGTGTTAACGATGTATATGGGAATAGTGAACATGTTGGAGGAAAAGAACTGGAGCACCGACACCATGATCCAGAAGACCTAAGAGGCCTTGATGGCGGATATGCTAACCTGTGGGATGACAGAAGGAGGTTGGAGGGGAGAAACCAAGGAGGAGGCAGAGAGCAGAACCCCAGATTGTAGCTCTGAGATAATATCTCCTGCACCTAAGTATCAGAGATGCAAGTTGTCCAAGTAGAAAGAGAAGGTAGCACTGCTCCAGGTAGGCTCAACACTCCCACACTCCACAATCCTTCAAAGTGGATGCTGGCCCAGCTCGCACGCCTGTTGCAGTAGATCAAAGGGAAGTCCGGGAGGCTGCCCTACAGCACATATCCTTTTTAATGTATAGGAAAGCAGCTTAACCTCTTCTCTACCACACTCTAGCCGAAAGACTGCTACAGCGCAGTTGTCAAGTTCTGGGACGACGTCCATGGACGTCATTCCAGAACACGCCCTGTGCTCCCCCAGCTCTGCTGGTGATCGCTGTGTCCTACGGACACAGCTGATCACGTGATATGGTAAACGCCAATCTCAGTGGCCTTTTACCACGTGATCAGCTGTGTCCAATGACACAGCAGATCACACGGGTAAATACAGTTGCCAGTTATTGGCTGTACTTTCGCTGTCACAGAGTGAGGAAAGTACTGCTGATAACCGTCAATTGTCAGAGAAGTGATCGGCACTGATGATCAGTGCCGCCCACCTGTACCCATCAGTGCCGCCCACCTGTGCCCATCAGTGCTACCAATCAGTGCAGCATCATCAGTGCCACCTATCAGTGCCTCCCATCAGTACTGCCTATCAGTGCAGCTTCATCAACGCACATCACTGAATGAGAAAAGTTACCTGTTTGCAAAATGTTATAATAGAAACTAAGAAAAACTTTTTTTTGTCACTTTTATAGCACAAAAAATAAAAATACCCAGCTGCAAATACATACCACTAAAAGAAAGCTCTATTTGTGTGAAAAAAAAGATAAAAAAATGTAATATGGGTTACAGTGTTGCATGACCGCACAATTGTCATTCAAAGTGCGACAGCGCTGAAAGCTGAAAATTGGCTTGGGCAGGAAGGGGGTATACGTGCCCAGTAGGCAAATGGTTTAAAACAAATTAAATAAGCTTCACACGTATCGCACTAACCTCAGTGCTTAATCATAACCAGTGGTTACGATTAAGCGCTGAGATTAGCGCAATACACGTAAACCTTCCCCCCACTGGCATACAGTATGGTGTTTTTAAGCTACTTTTCTATACAATAAAGTGTATATGTGCTTTACTGCGGCCTCCCTACAAGCATGAGCACTGACAGAAGAACCATGGAATAGTAAAACCAGGCAGCTTTCAGCAGACTAGCACAAATTAAAGTAAAAATTGCAGCTATGTACTCCATAGCTCGTCAAGGTACAATCCAGAAATTCAGGGCTGTCACAGAGAGAACATCACCATAAACTAAGAAAACATGCACTTAGTGGCTGACTGAAGAAACTTCCAAGGATTTATCTTAATTATGTCTACCTGTACTTGACTGGATAGACTTCCAAGATTTAACTTATCTGGCATGAATTTATCAACAGCTACTGATAAAAGAAACATTTTTCCAAACGAACAGAAAACAGCAGAACTTATAAAACATGTCCAGTTTCCTAAAAATAGCAAAAAAAAAAAAAACAGGCATTATGGTTGTGGGCAGGGTTAACCTGTGGTGGCCAATGGATTTTTTTCCAGCCTCCATTTCTCCAGTGAGCAGAAGTATAACCTGACTGTCTAAGAATTTCTGTGTCCCTTAATGGATGATAAATAACTATGCTAAGCACTGAATTTTTTGATGCTACCGATAGATGTTAAGCATATATTTGGTCTTTGCTACAGCTCATTTATAGTGTTTTCTTTTCCCAGAAGGTGAAAATTCTTCATAAATATTCTAATGAATACACACATTTCCTCTACAGATGGAGGAGGGGGGAATAAACAGCATTATATATGGTAAATTTTTACGGCAAAAAGGATTTGAATTAAACTCCGCATCTACCTTCTTTAGCTTTTCCTGTTTCTTTTTCTCGTCACTTTCACTGTCAGAATCTCCGCTCTTACGGTGCTTTTTCTTTTTTTTCTTTTTCATCTTTTCCTGGTGGATCTGTGGACAATGACAACAGTTACTCAGAAGATTCCCTTGCCAGGTATGGTAACGGCTGAATAACAATAGCCTACAATTTTGTCCTGAAAATCTCAAATTTACAAATTCCTCAAGAGCAGAGTGGTAATTCTCTTTTCCATTAAGCTTAGATTACAGTATTGATCAGTATCAGAAATATTTTACATGGCTAAGTGACAGGTGTGCAAAGCAGCTGTAAGTCTTTGGAACACACATGAAATGTGTGCACATGCAATGTATGAAAAGCTTCAAATCAAGGAAGATTTAGCAGCTGGTGTCAGCAGCCTTGCTAAAATTGGCTGTACCTCAACTGACATGAAGCATTTAACACAATTATTATCAAGCAATCTTAAGTCCAGCATTTTAAAGATCGTTATTTTTATTTTGCAGTACATAAAGCCCAGAGCGTGATGAAGGGGAAGCCAAAGAGTCTCCTGATGTTTTCTGGATTGTTCTTCACAAACACACACACCTGGACTTTTCAAGCACTTTCCAATTAGCATAAAAAAGGAAAACACAATGGCCTTTGTGATATTTTACACTTACCTCCACTAGGGTCTTTGGTTTAGACATCTCCTCTTTGGTTCTTTGAAATCCTACTTCACAAAGAAGGTCAGTATTCTAGAAAAGTCAGCAGATAATGCCAGATCAGGTATTTCTCCTAAATAATATGCTATTTTCCATTTTGAGGGCCCCGTGACACTTAAATAATATGCTATGTGCGCACTTGTGTGCACGTTGACACTTGTTTTTGGAGTCAATGAACCAAAGAAGTCTACCTGTGTATCTACGTCTGAAGTGTTTCTTGTTGCATATGCTATGGTGTGCTGAGAGTCAACTGTGGGTATAGGATTATAACTTTTTTTTTTTAATGGTTGAACTGGATGGACTTATGTCTTTTTTCAGCCAGACTAATTATGTAACTATGTTTATTTTGTCTGTGTATGTGTGCTACGGAATCACAGAAAATGAATGGAAACAAGCTGCAAAGAATATACACCACACCTTGTAATGGGCATGGGCATATAAATGCGTGCTATAATCCACACACACAAGCGGGAATAGATAGCCTTAGTCGTTTTCACGCTTAAAGCTACAGTACGGCGAAAAACTATTTTTGTACATTCGCACTGAAAAATAAGTTATTCCCAAGGAAGTGTGCCCTATCTCTGGCTGCTACTGCATTTGTTTACTGCAGGGCATTTCTTCAGAAGGAACATGGCAGAACAGAGTTCCACCACCTCCGGCGCTGGCCCTGTGCTTGCTGCTTACTACTGTAATTCCTGTTTAGAAGTAACAGCGCTTGTCTCCCACTGGCTCCACTGTATAGTCCCTTTAGATTTAAGCTATCTTTTTTTTTTCTTTCCAGCACAGAAAAAGCACTTCAGATCATCTCTAAAATTTGAGCGTCAGAGTATGTTCATCTAGATACAGTAGATCGTAAAAAAAAAAAAAAAAAAAAATTGCTATAAGAGTTGATATCTTTAAAACAGGCAAATAAAATCTGTAAATAAAAATCCATCTCAGATAGAAAGTACCAGCATATATTCTACAGTCAAACATTTGAGAAGAACTAGCCTCAAAAATCTGCATTAGGTAAAGTACATTCATAGGCTGTAAGTGGGGTTTCAGCTTCTGAAAAATCAATGTGCTTTTGGTGTGGATGTTTCAATGACAGAAATGTTGGAACAAACTAGTCTTTTGTGTTATAAACGTATCACACCCACTGCAGTGGCCACTGACTCACAAGTACCCTCAACATAAGCCATTTTTTCTGATATACTAGGAGAGGAAAACATTTTTAAGTTACAGAACAGATTGCTCTGCATTAAAGTAATCTGACCATCACAAGGCAACTTGGAAACTAAGTACAGCCTTTAAAAGAAGAGCATTTACACTTACCTTTCCAGTGGACCATGGCTTCAAACCCTGGCACTTTGCTGCTCGCCAGCCCTTGCAGGCACCTCCCATCTTATAGTGTTGCTTGCTCTACCTGCTCAGATATACTACAGGACATATATAAGCTGGCAGATGGAACCACAATGTGCGGTAGGGAAAACAGGCAATTGGCCCACCCAACATATGCAATACCTGCAGTGGCTAGGAATCATAAAAGTAACTATAGCTCTTTTTTCAGGCTGAGGTTAGTTTACAAGTGACCCTAAAGGTGGAAAAACATTTCCAGCAGTAAACATATCATCTGTAAAAAAGGAAAAAAAAAAAAAAAAAAAAAAAAAAAAATCACCAGATTTAAATAAGTTACAAGACAATCTCCAAACAATATAGGACACTCACACTCATGCTTTTCCCGGCTTCTCCAGTGCAATAAGACATCTTAACAAATGAGTGACAACATTTGTAGCCCCATTTTCCATCCTTCCAATATGAGCCCCAAATACACTAGAAAGAGAACAAAAAAAAAAAAAAAATTAAAACTCCCTACAAATGCAATAGTTCAAAATAACTGAACAACCCACAGACATATGAGCACCATGATAGATATATATATACATACACACTCACATACATAGCAAACACACACACACACACATATACATACATACACATCAATTACCCCATCACAAATGATATTACTGTTACTGCTCCACTCAGGCAGGTAGTGACAACCCTTTAATAAGACTCATCTATAGTCAGGCATTGCAGAAAGAGCAAAGCTCTAAAACTGACATTAGTGAGTGTGAAGATAATACAATATAAAATCCAATAGGCACACGGTGTTACAGCTAGTCTGCATAGCAAGTTCAAAAAGACCTGACAAGGTTTCATCAAGCTCTCAGATTAAGGCTTAGAATTTGTATTTATTTTATCTGTTACAGGTCTTATCAGCCTTGGAGCAACATAAGGGCAGATTAAGTCATCAGCCACTATAAATTTGTTATTTAACATGGATTTGTTTTTAAAAATAAATTAGCAAAATTGTGCTCATCTGTTGAATTGGTGTGAAATTCATGATTCCTCAGAAACTTCCTGGTGATATGGAAGTACAATGCAGTGGACAGAGTGCAGATATCTGGGGTGTGCATTGCATAGCACAGTGTACAGGGTATGCAGCATATAGTGCAGTATGCATTATATAGCACAGCAGAGACCTCAGTGACCCAGAGTATGAAATTTGCAACAGTGTATATGGAATTCAGTTTCTATGTAATGAAGAAGATAATGTACAGAGTTCAACAGTGTATCACATAAGCATGGACATGAAGGACCCTCTGCTCTAACAAAATAACTACTCTCATTATCACAATTGAAATGTAAATTTTTCACGATTTCCAGACAAATCCAAAGGTGGTCTGCATTTGCCAATGCATTTATTTATAAACACTTTAGTGTGATGTATAATGAGGGCTACAGAAACTTACTGTGTGATTATTGGTGAGAACATCCTCTTCATATTTGGAACGTGCTACTGCTTTCTCCTGTCCCTTTATAACTGTACCATGCCTGGAATACTCCACATAGTCCTCAGTCTGAGCCAGAAGCAGCTCCACAGGTGGAGCATCAAGGTGTTTCTGACCTCCATACTGTAAAACACAGAAAAAGTCATCTCGGATCAGGGTTGCCAACTCCTCACACATTTTTACTAATATCCTTAAATATTCCAATAACTCCTACTATGAAGTCAAACAGGAAACATAACAAAAAGCAAGCACAACTAAACGGTTAATTTGGTGCTCTGAACTCATTACTGGGAACTGATTTATAGTCTGCTTATTTTTTCTTCTCTTCATTGCAAGGATTATTAAACCTTGGAATTTTTTTTTTTACTTTAGTGAGGCTGAGATTTGAACAGGGTTACCAGCCGCATGCTGCAAGTTGAAATGATGTATTTATCATGCTACATATGCTGCACCAAAATAGTGGCCAAGATTGCCCTGTGTTTATTGTGCTGCAAAAAACTGAAGGGTTTACTGCACATGGCACATAGTATCGCAATCCAATATGGCGCTAAAAGTGGTAGAGGAAAAATGTTCCTGCATCTGTGGTGTCACTTGGCTGGAATAAAGCCACTGTCCCTGTAGTGTAAGTGGTAGGGAAAAACAAGAAGGGTGATAAGAGGGTGGGGGTAGTAAGAGAGAGAAGGGGACTGCAGAGAAAAAGAAAGACAAAAGCTTGCAAAAGAGAGGAAGAGCAAGTATAAAAGTAGAGAGAAAATGAATTCAGATCTCTTAAAAACGCTAACAGCCTACAATTCAGTTTCCGCACTTACCATTCATTTTGTTGCGCCTTGGCTCACCATCAATCACCTGGAAGCACCCACCTCAATTTGCTGATAACAACCTCCTTGACTCTCTACAGTCTGGCTTCCGTCCCTAGCACTTCAAAGGGCACCGAAAAGGGCATCCTGCTAAAGGTCTGGCTAATGCACCATGACCTACTAACCTTGCCAAACCTAATGGCCACTACCTAATTAACCTGCCACCTCCCTCATTAAAAATCTTGCCTGTTCTGCTAGGACTGAACACTTGGGTGGTCAGTGACCCTTGCCAGCAAAATCCTCTCACTGGCAGTTCCCAGATATGCGTACACTGTACCTACCCTCTCCTCCCCCAAAAAAATTGCATTTCTCCCTTTTTGCATCAGGGGTACTGAAAAAAAAAATGATGAGAGCATCTGCTCTCTCCTGGTTACAGTCCTTCCTACCTTTCCACCAAAGCTCCTTCAGCTGTCACCTCTTTGATAACTGCCAATATCCCTCTCCCTCCCCCTCTCTGTCGGGGTCCCCCAATGGCAAATAATGTCCATCGGACCCCTCCTCTTCTCCATCTTACACCTCCTCCCTTGGCAAACTAATACACTGTACACGGCTTCAATTACCACCTCATATGTGAACTGCTACACACAAATTTACCTCTCCCCCCTACAGGCTACACCCCTGCTGCCAACTTAAATGGACCATAGGCTACACTTGAGAAGTTTCCTAAACTTAACCTGTCCAAAGATGGACAGAGCTGATGGAATGGTACAAGCCACGCTAGTAAAGCTGAAACATTTCGTCCCTGACTGGCAAAAAGTTACAATGCTGAGGTATGCCTGAGCTCAGCCAATCTAGAATCAACTTGCTTTAGAACTGCACATATGCTGTATGTTTTACCCAAGAACATATTTACTGGTGCTGTCCCCCTCCAATTGTCCTGTGAATGATCATGTGCTTTAGACAAGAACAAGTGAATCAAATGTACTTGGACCTGAGTAATGCAAACTTTTTGGATCCATATGAGCAGCATACCCTTTCCAGGATGCTCTTTTTCTGTTCTTCTTTAAAGTCCTCTTTCTTTACTTTAAACGATTTACATAAAACTTCCAATTTGGTGGGATCAGCCTGAAGGTGGACATCTGAACCTTTAAAAAATTCAATCATAGGCCTCCCAGGCAAACACTAGATAAGAAAAAAAATGATCATAGCGTTACACAGAGCAAATGTTAGCTATTACCTGTCCTTATAAAATGTTGTCAAGAACAATATTATTATATAGCTATTTCCTCGCTTTAGTAAAATCAGAATTAGGGATGGATATATAAATTTCATAAACTTTATATTTCTTTACGTGTTTCCATACACTTGAAATAACATTGAAAATTTACTTAAATAGGAGTTCCAAATACTGTAGCTGCTGTCTTTAAATATCAGCATATATTAAATATAACCTGTCCAGAGGTCCAGCACTGCTGTCATATTCACTATCCTCCGGGTTCCCAGCACCGGCATTGCAAGTAAGGGAAACCGGAAAATAAAGCTTTGCGGCTTCACAGCTGGTTTCCTACTGCGCATGCCACGTTGTGCCTTGTGATTGGTCCTGTAGTCTTCAGGGGGAAGGCGCCGCTGTGAACGGAGCCAGAAGTGGGAGCGGGCACCTATCAAAACCAGGTATCTGCTCCCCCCCCCCCCAAAAAAAGTGCTAAATGTGGCAGGGGAGGGTGCAAACAAGAAAAGCTTCCCCTTTTGGGTGGAGCTCCACTTTTAAGTATAAAGTATATAAAGTGAGTGCTTCTATATAGACAATATGGTATCATCTTTCCAGAGTGTACTAACCATCTGACAGATGACATGAATGTATCTTCTCAGCAGTATAAACAGCAGTGAGACTGGTAAGGGCATTCTTTACAAGTGAACAGTGAAAAATAGTAAGATTTCTTCCTGCTATGATAAAGAGACACTGCCAAAAGGCAAGTTTTGATCAACTGGCTGCCACCATAAGACAAGAAAACGCATAATACCCCCAAACTTCAGTAAGGGCTCATTGTTGGTGGGTGATCTTTTCATAAGCTGCAGTTTTGCATAAAAAAACATGCATGTGAATGGCAAATTGGAGCATTTGTCAAAAGATACTGTTTGACCTGCTTTGCCTGCAGTTCAATTGCACCTCAATAGGCCATTCTGCAAACAGATGCAGCACAATGCTAAGAAAGTCAAATACAGCCTCTGACATGCCAGGTGTACTGCTTAATTATTGAAACTTAAATGGAATTTGCTAACCTGCATTTGATGTGCCTTCTCAACACATATTAAAACACAAAACAGGGCCTGTCAACATGAGCACTAACATGCACAATTCCAAATTAGAATAAATGACTGAATAAGAAATTTTACTTACGTTGAGTCTGTGCCATAGCAATTGTGTCTCCAGTATAACGTACAAAATTATCACCAGCATAGCTGACACTGTAAAGAAAGTCCAAGATCACCAATAAGATAAAAGACTTTAAAAACAGTTATATATTGTAAAAGACCAACAACATTCACATTTTTTTTTCACCTAAAACTGCCACCTGCTGTTCAAATATGAAACTGTAGCTCACCAATTTACGATTATGGTCTATGAACACTCCTGAGGATTATTTATACAGTAGTATGCAGACTATGCAATTGAAATGCATGCAGTATGGCAAAAAACTATTTTAAACAGGATTTGCTGATTTTATTCTGCATTCTTGACATGGTTGCAACCATGATGGTTTCATCGTAGCAATTAAAAAAAAGACAATAATTTTTTTTCAAAATAAAATTCAGTTGTACTGGCTTCAAAACCATTAAAAATCAATGTGCAGCTTTTCAAAACACAGTGTGCAGCAGCTCAATGGCAGGACCAAAAGTTTAATACCCTCTGACAGGCTACATCTTTAGTACACAATTAAAATCAATCACATTTAAATTAGTCACATACTCATCTGGATTTTTTCCTGCATCAGCATATGGATTTTCCCTCATGGCTCTGGTTTTGGGATCGTAGTAGTATGCAGAGTTTGGATTCAGATTTCTTAAGTACTACAGGGATATGAAAAAAAATATTAAAAATATAAAAAACTAAAATTAGATCAAAATACTATTTCATACAAATAAAACAGGCTTGCGGTTTAGTATTACAATCATTCACATTTTACCTTGGCAGTAATCTTCACGAATGCGCAGGTTTCTGACTGTAAATTCGTCGCTTGGAATCAAAGTTCTGTCCCGGCATATCAATATCATCTGCATATTTATCTTCATCCTCATCTTCACTGTTACGGTCTCTCTCCTAAAAAGTTTGATCGAATTATTAGGACTAAGTTATAAATGCAAGGGATATATAGATATATAGGTAAAATAGAAATATATATATGTACCTATCCATCTATCTTTGATATTAGCTTTGGAGTTAAATTACTCTTTAGCTGTATAGGAATCTAAACAGAAGCTCCAGTCAAAATATTTTTTAAGATACCACTGTCTACACACAATATTTTTTCTGCAGTCTGGGCTCTATCACTTTTCACCAAGCTATATGGCTGCTTTACCTAAACCTTTTCAGTCATTCACCACTAAACTAAAGAGCAGCTAGGTACCCACACAGGGTACCTAGGAGGCACAACAGAAGCTGGTTGCTTACAGTGCTGTGTCCATGCAAAATTAAAAAGCAGTTTGAAGTTGTTTCAGTTGCATACTCAGACTAAATTTTTTTTATTGAGTTTTGGATAGATTGCTGTAGCATTCACAGCCTATGCCAATTTTTCTTTTATTTGATACCTGGATCTACACTGGAAAGATATCCTTTAACTTCCTATACTTGGAATCACAGTCACAGAGTTAGAAAGTGAAGAGAAACCCTCTACAATTTGTACACAGCAAAAAACCTGACAAAGCTAAAGTGCTACTTTAAATATGATGTTGGAGTAGCATAAAGGGAAGAAGGCAAACCCTGTGATCTGCAGGATATGAAGACTGTTTAATAGTGATTGTAAATTACATACTTTTCAGTGCAAATAAATGTAAGATTTAATATTTGGATGTTGCGTTCTTTAAAAACTTTGCAAAACAAAGCCTGCTCATTTAAATGCAAACAGAACCATCCAATAAGGTTCACTGAAAACCATTCAGTTTATACTGGCCCAAATCAGCTCCTAAAACCGATAGGCCAACATAGGCCAAGTGATTGGCTCATCATAGAATGTTGCAGTCCTTAGGCAGGAGTATGGGATACTAAAAAAAAAGCTTAAGCATATAATCTTTTGCTGTAGTGAAATTATGTTTCCTGCATATCTAATAATAATTGTAATAACTCACACTATTCTTGAAATATATTACATCTTTCACAATGCCAAGAAAAAACTATAATATGTGTTATTATTAACATAATAGTCCAAAACTGCTATCTCAGTATCCAAACACGGTCAATGGTTTTTAGCAGGTGGGTAGTTTATGCAGTAAGAGGACTCTAGCAGATGAAGTAATCAACTTGCTTCCAGTATTTTGCCCAATCCAAAAGTTCGGTTTTTGTAAGTGTTCCCCATGTTTGCTAGGCAGGCAAGCAGAACAGAGCCCCGGGGGGAGAGATCTCACCTCCACAATGCACAGCAGAAGACAACAGCAGGAGTCTTACCAGATCTACTCAAAAGCTGAAACATCTGTTGATGCAATAACCCTTCATTAAGTACCACTTCCTTAAAATTGCAAATTCAAGGAACTTTGTGCTCCGTAAAGATAATGCTAGTTTATTATCATTGTGACAAGGTCAAACTAAGTATACATATTATCCAAGTAGGAAAAAAGCTTACGGTCTGGGCATTCTGTTCCTCTTCTCCCCACAGGTGTCTTGGGGAGCTCTGAAGTAAAGAAAGCAAGATGGGTGACAAAGAAAATACAAGGTCAAGCTTAGAGAAGAGTTGGGCCGTTACCCTATTAAGGTAACCACCTATACTAGTGTCCATGCAGAAGATTCTAGGATCATCACTTTTGCAGGGTATATGTAATGACACTCATGATCCATGAATAAATTTTTTTTTTACCAGGACCCAAGAGATGTGTAAGACTCCACAGCAGTTATTTAAGTTAAAATGTCTAATAAACCAGCATGTAGACAACAAAGTTATAAATACCACCTACATGTTCAGAAACACTGAATGGGTGGAAAAACTCAACAGAATAGGGCTTTCACACACATACTGCATCTACAAGATTTACCAACTTTCAGGGTCTGATAAACACATTTCAGCATCTTGAGAACTATGGTGGGTGTGATAATGCATTGTAAAAATGGATTAAAAGGTGTTATTATTTGCTACTGTCAGAGAAGTTTTTTTAGTTTGTCACACACAACACGTGCAAATAACTGATAACTTGAATAACACAAAACTTTAAAGCCCAGCTAGTTTTGGACAGAAGGGGAAAGGGTTAGGTTTATACAGTATTGCAATCTTTGTGCTCAATGGAGAGAATTCCACTCACTTCCTGTCAAGAGGCTAGGGTATTACAGAGACAGGAGGTGGTGGAAAGTCTTTTCAATGTAGATAGAGAGCAGCAAAATATTTTATCTGGCAAAGGTTAGAGTCTTTGCAAGTTATTTAATGCTGTCTGTGTCTTTCTGTGCAAGAGATTCCTATTCCGCCTCATTTCTTGTCCAGGTGTCACAGAGATAGAAAGTGAGGTGAAATCTCCCCAAAAGAATCAGACCGCAATAAAAACATGACAGAAATTCAAATCTTTCTTCACTTGAAAATAGATAAAAAACAAAAAAAAAGTTTTGACTAGAATTGGACTGTCAGAGAATAACAAAATGAGGTAATAAATAAACAAAAATAACTTGTGACCCTTCTGAACCTGACATACTTTTACACTGCTAAAACATCCTCACTGGTAGCATGCAAATGAACTTTATATTTAGAACAATTTATGAAAAATTCACAGATGGTGTGTATTTGTAGGTTTAAGCTTGTTGGTTACTTATCACACACATGATCGGCCAATCATAAAATATTTACCACTTGTTCTGAAAGCTTTCCGGAGGCCAGCTCCTCTTGAAGTTTCTGGGCCTTCAATGTACGTTTTGCCTAGAAGGAGGACATATAGTTTCTGAGATTCATCATGGTACAATGGTTAATGTTTACCTATTTCACTGCCAGATATTTTCTTTTTTTTTTTTGTTTCATTTTCCGCACACAAGCAAAGGGGTGGTGGTGGTGGTGGGGGAGGAGGGAGTTTGAAACTAACCTTAGAAATCATTGTTTTAACAAAACAAAAAAGGGGGGGGCAGGCTCAATGGACCATTTTCTGCCATTGCTCTTATATGTTTCTATTTTAAAATGTGCATTTTTGGTTTAAAAATTAGTTAAAATCCCCAAATGAATTTTTAGAAAGGAGAGGTCCTGTCAAATAAAATGAAAGTAGTTGGGTTTTTTATGTTGCTTGTTTGTACAAATGTTTAGTTTCAGGCAAAAAAAAAATTATAAATAATTTTATTGTATTATTAAATTCTCAGGTTTTTTGCTTAACATTATTGAGCACAATAAAATTAACATTTCCCGATAAACATTTTTTGAAGTTCTTACCCCAGCACTTGCAGGTTACAGATTTCATAGTTGCTGGGTCTTGCTCTCTGAGAGCCATTTCACATATATGTGGATTGGATACAGTTTGAACCACATTCAATCCGCATGACATCTGGAAAAACATTGTTTCCTATGGTACCTGTTCACATATATCCATTGCACCGGTGGAGCGGATTCAGTGCAGTATAAAAAAAGAATCATGGCTGATTTCTGAGCAGTGCCCTCAGGTTCAGGTTGAGATTACAGGCTATTGACTTCTATGGGAACAGTTTCTAAACCACATATGTGTTAACAGAATAGAATCATGAGCTAATCCTGTCCTGAACCTGATATAAACATGAACCGCTAAACAACTACTAATCAAATAGCTGTGAAACCTGAGTTTCAATCCCTGCAGCACATGAGTGAATCAGCTTTCAGTGCTGATTCCCTAATAAACTTCCAGTCTTTGCAGGAAAGAGTTAACATAGGACAGTGCAATCTCTAAACCAGTATCTTAGCTTAGAGAAAGGCTAGAGGAGGAGGGCGGAGGAGCAGCAGGGTGCCCTGCCATCCTAGGCTATGGGGGTTTGTTCTTCTATTGATGTACACAGTGTAGGTGTGCACTGCTTTATATCTTCTCCCCTATCTTCCTCTTCACACAGGGAAAGGAAATAGCATAAGTCATTGACTCTTGCTGCTGTCAATCAAATGCAGTAAGGAATGGTGGGACTAAGTCTTGCTGTGTGTCTATGGAGTTCAGCTCCATAAAATGCACACAGCTCAGGCGCAAGCATGCACTGTGTGCCCCCATAGCAAGCAGCTTCCTATAGGGTCACACAAAGAGGAGGAGCAGTGAAGATTGCCAGCGGTGTACCTCAGAAGAGGATGTTTGTGGCTGTTCTGTGCAATACTATTGCACAGAGCAGGCGAGTATAACATGTTTATTGACCCCTGATGGAGAACCAAAACAAAAATCATCGTACAGGGGATTTTTCATCCCCTGTGCGATGACAAATTAAAAAAAAAAAATATTTGAAAAAAATGAAAGTTACACCCGAGCACTTAAAATCCCACCCCTCCCCCCAAACAATATTTTAGCAACCGCAAACACATGAAAGTCGATTGCGTTACACATTACATATTGCGACACATACCAGAGTGAGAGCAATAATTCTAGTCCCACTATTCACTCTAATAATGAGACTTAGTTCTCATAATGCTAAACTGATGGCCAGTAGGGTCACCTATGGAAAATATAGGGTTTTAAAGTTTGTCGCCATTTCAAAAGCACATGCAATTTTAAGGTTTGGCATGTTGGTTATCTGTTTACCTTTATATTTGACAAAAAATTGGGTAATTTATTGAATTTTATGTGCCCTAAAATTAACTTTAGTGTATTTTTTTACTGGAATTTTGCATTTCAAAAACGGTTGCGCTACAAGGCTGTGACGTAAAAATATGGAACGACCACTATTTTACTCTCTAGGGAGACTGCTTTCAGAAAATATATAATGCTTTTGGGGGTTTTATGTAATCTTCATGCCTAAAATTATTTTTAAACATGTGGAAAAAAATGCAAAACCAGCTCTGGCAGCAAAAAGCTTGAATCAGCTGCTGAAACTGCTTACAAAAGTGCTTAAAGTGGTTGCAAACCCTTGCATATACCCCCAGAGAAGTGACTGGCCTCAGGCGATACACAGAAATGTATCCATGGACATCCTCTCAGAACCGCCCCCCTGCATGACCCCCCCCCCCCACTTGTCGGTGACAACTGATAACGAGGTAAGATAAAAGGCCAATCACAGCGGCTTTTTACCATGTGATCAGCGGTGTCCAATGACACCGCAGATCACAATGTAAATACAGTTGCCGGTTATCAGCTGCACTTTCTGCCGATAACCGGAAGATGTGACAGGGGAAATCTGCACTGATTATCAGTGCCACACAGCAATGCCGCCCAGCAGTGCCACCCATCAGTGCTGCGAGTCGGTTCTATCAGTCAGTACAGCCCATCATTGCCGGCTATCAGTGCCCATAAGTGCCACCTATCAGTACCCATCATTGCTGCATAACAGTGCATCAGTGCCTCCTCATCAGTGCTACAAATCAGTGCCTCATCAATGCACATCAGAAGGAGAAAAAAAACCTGTCTGCAAACTGTTATAAAAGAAAACAAAGAAAACTTTTATTTTTTTAATTTTTTGCTCTATTTTCATTTATAGTGCAAAAAAATAAAACCCCCAGTGGCGATTAAATATCACCAAAAGAAAGCTCTATATGTGTGAAAAAAATTATAAAAATTTCATATGGGTACAGTGTTGCATGACCGCGCATTTGTCATTCAAAGTGCAACAGCGCTGAAAGCTGAAAATTAGCCTGAGCAGGAAGGGGGTAGAAGTGCCCAGTAGGCAAGTGGTTAATAACACTGTTTAAATGACCCCCTTAGTATATGAAAATCAATAATGTTGACATACCAAGTCCACTTTAGCATGTTCTTCTACGATCTTCTGGTGTTCTTCTGGGTTATAGCCATTCCACCGGTCTCTTTTCCCATCATAATCCAACATAAGTTGTGGCTGCTCAAACTCATCTGGAGCGATATTCATGCCATTGAATTTTGCTCCAACTCTACGAGGTCTCTGCAAAGCAAACAAAGTATTCCAAATTGACAAAAACTCAGAAAATAAACCTTCTGGTAAAAGAAGTTCTCATGTAATATGAAAGTCTAGTGCATGCACATAGAGAATCAATCCTGAGCTGTTTCAGCAACTGAACATCTATAACTTCTATACAGTAATTTTAACTGCAGATATGTAAAGTGTATCTAAACTGAAGAACAAAACTTTAATATTGCAGTTTATTAGTCCTTAGCTGTGATGGCTGCATTAGTTTTCTATTTACAGGCTTCTTTCCTCCTATATTTTTACTTGGCTATCCTGCCAATAGCATATTTCCTATCCTATGGTGACAACACTCTCTCAACTACTGTATCTATTGTAAGGCACTATGGTAAAACAGCATTGACTCCCTGACAGGAAGGGTGTTAAGACAAAAGAACATCCTATCCCCTAATCTCCATGACAGAGAGTTCACAGACATGAACTGGGCAAGCCAAAAAACAGGCCTTGAAATAAAACTGCAGAGTGCACAGGAATGTACAAGCTCACTGGATTTAAGCACAATCAGCACATTTTTAAACAAAGCACTTTCAATGGTATCTTTAGCAGCCAAAAAAGGGAGCAATAGAAGTTCGCGGTTAGCGTTTACATACACTTTAAGCCAGGGGTCAGCAACCCATCGATCATGATCTACTTGTTGACTGCAGATAGGTAGACCGCGAACATGTCCCTTTACCCCTCTTTGCCCCAGCCTCGTTCGCTGCTGCTGTCATCCTCAGTGCACAGAGGAGAGTGTAGGACAGCACGGCTCAGGATGGAGGGCGGGAGGAGAAGCTGGCCAAATTAACTTTACATATTAACCAGCAGGTGATTGGTTGCTAAGCCAGTCGGAAGGAGAAGGGGGCCAGAGGTCACTGTTATGGGGAAAAGGAAGGGGGGGGGGCAGAGGAAAATACTGGGGGTGGGGGGGAGGTGATTTGCAGATGACACTGCTATGGGCAGTGCCAACACCCTTCCAACACCCCCCCCCCCCCCCCCGCAGTGACCTTCCCCCCATAGCAGTGACCTTTGGCCCCCTTCTCCCCCCCCCCTCCCCCAGCAGTGTCCTCTGCCCCCCTTTCCCCCATAGCAGTGACCTCTAGCCCCCCTTCCACCCACCAGCAATGTCCTCTGCCTCCATTTCCCCCGTACAGTGACCTCTAGTCCCCCTGCCACCCCTTCCTACCAGCAGTGTCCACTGCCCCCTTTTCCCCCATAGCAGTGACCTCTAGCTCCCCTTCCCTCCCACCAGCAGTGTGCTCTGCCCCCCTTTCCCCCATAGCAGTGACCTCTGGCGGCGCCCCCCCCCCCCCCCGCATTGTCTTTTCCCTATAGCAATGACCTTTAGCCCCCCCATCCCCCACAGCAGCAGTGTCCTCTCACCCATCCCCCCCACCGCTTCCCTCCCATGGACAGGTATTTTAAAAATCTGATTTCCCAGCAAGTGGCTGGGGATCAGGATTCTTTTTGTTCCCCCCCCCACCCTGGTGCCCTAAGGCAGCTGCCTAACCTTATGCTTAGGGCACCAGGGTAGCTGGGGGGGGGGGGGGTCCCAATTCCCAGGCACTTGCTGGAAGTTCAGATTTTTTAAATATTTGCCTTCCAACGATCCCCTTTATTGTCCTCCTGGAGCAGCTAAAAGCTAGTATCTCCTACTCGCCCTCCCACCAGCATACAGCTACTGGTGGAAAATCCAGGGAAAAAGTTCTAGTAAACGCCCTCCCCACTGCCCCTCCTGTCCTTATCTCTCCTTTTTTCTACTGCCTGGCCACTCCCATTTCAACAGGGCTCCTAAAGAAATTGTGAAAAAAATAAAAAATATAAAAATTTAAATTTACACCATCCACTGCCCTACTGACACCAACCTCTGCCCTACTGACACAGTCCACTGCTCTACCTACTGACAACAACCTCTGCCCTACTGGCAGACACTGTCCATTTTTAAGGTAGGCTAAGTTTGTCTTTTTACAGTGGCATTTGCTTTATTATATTTTTCTACATTTTCCTTGCTATTAAATTAGGCCTAGCTAGGTTTATTTTTTTTTTTTAAATGGCGCTGAACCCCGGTGACCTTTGATCTCTTTCATGTTGTTCAGGTAGATCTCCACCTCTCAAAGGTTACCTTCACCTGCTTTAAGCCATTTTGAATGGAACAGGTCAGACCTGCATGGAAGTAGCAACTAGTGAAGGTGGACTGAAGCAAAAAGTTATCCAAAACATCTTATACCAAAACATGGACAGATGACATGAAAGCGACAGTAATTTATATTTTACAGTCACTTTCTCTAGCATCTGCTTTTCGGCACAATATAAAACTGTCCTTTAAACGAGTCCATAGTGGAACATCTAAGAACAGAAATAACACAAATCTTCATAATTAATTCAAGTAATGTAATACATGCAAAATAAGGCACTAACCTCAAAGCAGTCCTTCTTCTTATGTGTCATAGAACCACAGTTCTCACAAGCTCCCTCTCGATATTTTGTTGCAATTGACCCCTTAAAATAAATAACACGTTATATCATTTGTTCAGATATTAGAACATATGTATAATAAAATGAAAAACTACTTTCTATTCACCTCCCTAACACCTTTCTTGAACCATTCTCCCATTTGTGAGAACTCCTTCTGCTTCTCATCCTGTGGCCTCTGGTGCTTTAGAGTGGGCCTTTTTGAAGGATCCACATACCAGGGGACTGAAGAAATATACTGAGGGATGTGAGGATTGATATCCCTGAAAACATAATAAAAAAGCATGATTATATTTTGTAGAACCAATGTTATCAGGATAAAGCTCAATAGAGCATATCCAGCACATTAGATGGAAAGGTTACATATATAGTACAGACAGAAGTCTTGCACCTATACATTTTGTTGTAGGCCGTAACAGTATGCAGAATAAAAATCCATGTTTCTTTTAAAACAAGATGCAGGATAGAAAAACTGTGTCAGAGCATCAGTCACACGACATAAGCACCCCCAACCCCTTATTTTATAAACCCAACAACACTAAGATGATCTCACAGTTTATAAATGAGATCACCATGGAAAGCACTGATTAGGTAGCCTTCTTAGGGGGGAGGATGTGAAGCACTGTTATCAGTGTCTCCGCATACAAGAAGTGAAATAAAACAAAAATTGTAGACAAGTAGTAATATTATTTTACAAGTATTTTTTTTTTTTTACATAGGACTTGAGGGTGTTTACAGCTCAGCATACTAAGCTGTATGCAACTGTGCTTTTTAGATTTGATGTGGAAAGGTCCATTTCAAGGTATAAAGGTTATTTGATTTTTTTTTTTACAATACTTACTTTCCTTCTTCATCTACTTCAGCGGGGGCATTACCCAACTTACGCTGTTCTTCTAGTTCCTTTTTCTTTCTCCAGTCTTCCCTCGTCATCTTTTTTGGCTCTTCCATGCCAGAAGCTTCACCTGGCACAGCAATGACTGTGCCTCCCGACATTTTGGGGTAACTGCCTAAATGAAAACAAAAAATGGAACACGACAACATGAATGGCAAAATCTAACCCAACAGAACTACAACTCAGCATATGACTTAATATCATACTCTGCAAAATTATCTCCTCCATAAACGTGTGTATGTTCGAATCCTCTCTACATATCTAATTAATCACCTAGTATTCAAAGTATACCTCCAACGAAAACGTTTTTTTTTTTCTAGTTTTGGATTAAAGCGGATTTGCATGTTTACTGTAACATTAAATAGTTTGTTTGGATCAAACAAGCCATTTCCTTCACTAATTGATGCAGCACATTTCAGCAATGTATGAACTGTATTGCAGTCTCAGCTACATACAGTACACAGTGCTGTGTTTTGGCTGTGGGAGAGACCGTCTCGTCTCATACACAGAACAAAATAGAGTTGGTCTGATCAGTGCTCAGCCATTTATTGGCAGCTTTGTATTCTAGAAACGAATACAAAGCTTCCTCTGACTGACTGAAGTGGAGAGGCATAACATTATGAACCCCACCTCCTACAATCAGAGGAAGCTTTGTAATCATAATTCGCATACAAAGCCACCAATGAATGGCTGCGCGCCACTCAGACCAACTCTGTGACAAAAATTTCTCCTCTCACAGCCAGAACACAGCACTGTGTACTGTATGTAGCTGAACCTACACTATATTGCCAAAAGTATTGGGATATCCCTCCAAATCACTGGATTCAGGTGTTCCAATCACCTCCATGGCCACAGGTGTATAAAATCAAGCACCTAGGCATGCAGACTACTTCCACAAACATTTGTGAAAGAATGGGTCGCTCACAGGAGCTCAGTGAATTCAAGTGTGGTACAGTGATAGGTTTCCACCTGCGCAGTAAGTCCATCCATGAAATTTCCTTGCTACTAAATATTCCACAAAAAATGCAGCCCCTTGAAGATGTCGGATGACGAAATGTGTAGGGCGGGGTTTAGTGGATGTGACGTCAGGGCGCTCCTCGAGACTGTCAGCTGTGATCGCAGTGAGGGAAGCTCGTCCCTGCTTTAGCTTTTTGAGACTGATATTGCTGGTGTCGTTGCACACCTTTCTTGTGAGTGCATATTTAAGGCTACAATAAAAATTATCTTTGTTTTAATATACTGCACCATGATACTCTTCTTTGATTCCCCGAGAATTTCCAAAGTTATGAAGGCATGATGACCACTTGCAGTTAAGACTGTTCCATGTGTGCTGATTTGGCTGACTGCAGTCTATTGCTCCTGGATACTCCAACAGATCATCACTCCCAGAGCAATTGCTATTTTTGCTGATTTATAATTTGATCATCAAATAGCTCTGGTGAGTTTACCCATTTCATTCGGTGGTGGATTTTGCTACACGGTGTTTTTTTCTTGTTTGAAGACATTTTATCAATCACTTATAATGGTGTTTGGACTTATATATGAATTACGGACATTTATAGATATATTTTTTATTTTACTTATGTATTTATTTGCATTTTCATGTGATTTGGTATTTAGCGCATTCCTTTATATATTTTTTTGACACTTACCTTTTCTTTGGTTATGTTTGCAGCTTTATATATAATTTATTGGCGCTGTGTCTATATATTTACATAAATATTCCACAGTCAACTGTTAATGGTATAACAAAGTGGAAGCAACTGGGAACAACAGCAACTCAGCCACAAAGTGGTAGGCCACAACAAATGAGCAGGGTCAGTGTTTGCTGAAGCACACAGTGTGCAGAAGTTGCCAACTGTCTGCAGAGTCAATAGCTAATAACCTCCAAACTTTGTGTGGCCTTCAGATTAGCACAACAGTGTGTAGAGAGCGTCATGAATCACACTTCTCTGGCAATCCAATGGACGTTTCTGGGTTTGGCAGTTGCCAGGACAACAGTACAGTCTGACTGCATTGTTGCAAGTGTAAAGTTTGGTGGAGGGATTATGGTGTGGGGTTGTTTTTTCAGGGGTTGGGCTTGGCCCATTAGTTCCAGTGAAGGGAACTCTTAAGGTGTCAGCATGCCAAGACATTTTGGACAATTTCATGCTTCCAACTTTGTGGGAACAGTTTGGGGATGGCCCTTCCTGTTCCAACATGACTGTGCACCAGTGCACAAAGCAAGGTCCATAAAGACATGGATGAGCAAGTTCGGGATGGAGGAACTTGACTGGTCTACACAGAGTCCCGACCTCAACCCGATAGAACACCTTTAGGATGAATTAGAGCGGAGACTGCGAGCCAGGCCTTCTTGTCTGACATCAGTGCCTGACCTCACAAATGCACTTCTGGAAGAATGGTCAAACATTCCCGTAGACACACTCCTAAACCTTGTGGACAGCCTTCCCAGAAGAGTTGGAGCTGTTATAGCTACAAAGGGTGGGCCAACTCAATATTGAACCCTACGGACTAAGACTGGGATGCGATTAAAGTTCATGTGCGTATAAAGGCAAAATGCATTTAAAAGGCACATGCATATTCACACAACCCATTAAAGGCACATACCCTGTTTTTAAGTTTTTATGTTCTGCTGACCAGGAGCATATATGCAGTCTCTCACCGGGTGGGATTGACCGCGGAGTACTAATTCAACAGTTTACTGTGCTAACAGTGTGCTCCCAGCACAGAAATGAACAGGTACCGGAAAGTTCCAAATGTATAACTGCGATAGCGTGCTTTTGATTATGTGACCACCAATCACAGGGATCACATGATCAGAATACCTGCTTCCTGGCATTTAGATCCCCTTAACCACTTGCCCTCTGGAAGGTTTTACCCCCTTCATGACCAGGCCATCTTTAGCCATTTGCAGCTGCGCTATTTTAACTGATAATTGCGGGATCATGCAATGCTGTACCCAAATGAAATTTATGTCCTTTTCACACAAATATAGCTTTCATTTGGTGGTATTTAATCACCAATGTTTTTTTTAATTAAATAAACAAAAAAAATATATATTTTTTTTTACTCTCTGCTATAAAACATATTCAATAAATTTATATGGAGAAGAAACAGCGAGATCGTTCCCTCTGTACAGAGCCCTGTGTTGATTGTCAACACAGGATTCTGGGCTGTGATTGGACACAGCCGATCAGCAGGTCCCGGCCATGAATCATTGGCCGGGATCTGCTGACAAACTCCCACTGAGTTGGCGGGCGAGATGCACATGTACCCAGAGGAGACCAGCGACCTACAGGTATGTCACTGTACCTGTACAGGCCACCTGTCCACAGTACATTGTGGGTGGTATGCAAGTGGTTAACCACTTGCTTACAGGGCACTTTTGTTCCCTTCCTGCCCAAGCCAATTTTCAGCTTTCAGCGCTGTCACACTTTGAATGACAATTGTGCGGTCATACAACACTGTACCCATATGACATTTTTATAATTATTTTCACACAAATAGAGCTTTCTTTAACCGCCGCCCGCCATATCAGGAAATGACGGATGGGCGGTGATTCTCTTGTTCTGGGAGGACGTCATATGATGTCCTCCCACTCTAACCACGTGTGCACGCCCCTGGGGGTGCGCAGAGCGGCGATCGGTGGTGCTCTGTGTCCCTGGGACACAGTGGATCACCGATCAGCAGAAAGAGCTGATGACTTCGGCTCTGTCATGTGATCAGCTGTGTCCAATCACAGCTGATCGCATGTAAATAAGGAAATGCCGCTTATTGGCATTCCTCTCCTCACGAGCTCTCACATCGACAGCTCGTGAGGAGAGGAGAGACAGTAATCAGTATTCCTCAGAGGGGACATCTACATTGATCATCAGGGCACTGATGATCAGTGCCCTGATGATCAGTGTAGCCACATCACTGCCACCTGTTAGTGTCCATCAATGCCACCTGTTAGAGCACATCAATGCCACATATCAGTGCCAACCAGTGCACATCAATGCCACATATCAGTGTCCATCACAGCTGCCTTTCAGTGCCAGCTATCAGTGCCAGTCAGTGCTGCCTAACAGTGCCCGTCAGTGCCACCTAACAGTGCCATATGAGTACTGCCTTTCTGTGTCCATCAGTGATGTCTGTCAATGCCCATCAGTGCCACCTACCAGTGCCTCCTCATTAGTCCAAAAATTCTTCCTGCGCCTAGTAAAACACTCTAATACAGGTTCTATCCTGCTGCTGTGCACTGTGATCAACACATTAGTGCCCATCACTCCAGCCATCAGTGCCCATCACTGCAGCCTCATTAGAGCATATCAGTGAAGGAGAAAAATTGCTCATTTACAAAATTTTATAACAGAAACTAAGAAAAAAAACTTTTTTTTTCCCCAACATTTTCAGTTGTTTTTGGTTTGTTTAGCAAAAAATTAAAAACCCCGAGGGGATTAAATACCACCAAAAAAAAAAAGCTCTGTCTCAAAAAAATTATAAAAATTTCATATGGGTAGAGTATTGCATGACCGTGCAATTGTCATTCAATGTGCGACAGAGCTAAAAGCTGAAATATTGTCTGGGCAGGAAGGAGGTGAAAGTGCCCGGTAGACAAGTGGTTAAAAAAAAAATAGTTTTCATAGTTTTTATTTTAAAACTATAACATTTTGCAAACAGGTGATTTTCCACCTTCACTGATGTGCGTTGATGAGGCTGCACTGATGAAATAGCACTGATAGTCTACACTTATGTGTCAGCTCTGCTGACGTGGCACTAGTGGGCATTGATGAGGAGGCACAGATGGGCACTGGTAGGCAGCAATGATGGGCACTTGTGGGGCTGCACTAATAATCAGTGCCCTGATTATCAGTGTAGATGTCTTTTTTCACACTTGCTGGTTATTGGTAGTACTGCTGATAACTGGCAAGTGTGTTTTACATCATGATCAGCTTTGATTGGACATTGCTGATCAGGTGGTAAACAGCCACTGTGATTGGCCCTTAAGGCTCAGGTCACACTAGCTTTGTCAGCAGGTGTCGGACAGACTTTTGGGAAGCATCTTTAACGCTTCTCAAATGCCTATGAAAATTCTGCACACAGTTCTGTTCACACTGAAGCATCGTGTTGCGTTGCAGCAAAACTGATGCCTCCTGTCAAGTCAGGAGGAGTTGAAGCTTCCCATTCATGTCTATGGTGCCGCTCCACAAACGCCTGGCAGGCGTTTGCGGTACAGTTGTGGTGCGGTTGCAAAGTTTTACTCCCATTTAACTTCATTATAGGCGTTTGTGGTGCGATTTTAACGCTTGGCAAATGCCTATCAACCGCCTCAAAACAGCGCATAAAAACGCTTCCCAAATGCCAAACGCTATAGGGGCGTTTGGCAAGAATTAGAAATAAAGTCAAGCGTGAACGAGCCCTTACTGTGACATGAGAACACCGCGAGCGCGGTTCTGGGAGGACGTCATATGACGCCTTCCCAGAACTGGACAACTGCGCTGTAACGGTAATTCGGCTATAGTGTGGTCAGCAAATAGAGGAAAGAAGTTAAATGCATGTGAAAGCCATGCGTTTTTGCTGCATTAAAAAAACACGCTTGACTGCATCTGGTGTAAATGAGCCCCCTAAAGCCAGCTGACTGTAATGAGATGGGAAGAAGGCAAAAGCAGAGTATTTGTACCCCAGTGGGACCCTCACATGTACGCAGAGGGGGGGGGGTGTGTGTGTGTTTGTGTGTGTGTATACATATATATGTGTGTGTGTGTATACATATATGTGTGTGTGTATATATATATATATGTGAGTGTATATATATATAAACACCTACATACAAACACATATAGTCGTACATCCATTTCCCCCTCACACTCCTCGGTAGATAGTTACATACACCTCCCATTCGTATGATAAACTCACCGGACACACCAACCACAGACACAATCTCCAGTCGCTTTTACCTAGGAAGCGGAAGCGATACCATAACCCGGAAGTGAGGCAATCCAACAACAACTGGGAGGAATGCTCCATTGACACGCCCCCTGCAGCTGTAACCCCTGAGTTGCTGGAAATGATGGGCTCCTAGAGGATGGTTTCGCGTTGTTCTCGGCAGTAGTGCTTTTGTGTTGGTGGTACTTGTGTGGTGAACGTGTCATCGCGGAATATGTTCCATTCCTTGTAATATGCACATATGATGGAGTATGTCGCTGCAGAATGTGAACTAGGTCTTGCATTCACTCACATTTAGGTTGTTGGTTTTTAAAGGCAGTGTGTTGGGCTTAGTTCACACAGGTGTGGAAGCAACCTGTATGTATGTTACCTATGTAACATACTTATGGTTGATTGATCCGCCCACATCATGTGTATGCTGTGATAGGCACCAGGAAAGGAAAATTACGGAAAGGTAAATATTTTATTTTTCCCACTTTCCTGGAGCCTTCATGGCAGCATACACACGATGTTGGAGAATCAATCAACCATGTGTATGTTGCCGTGGATAGGCACCAGGAAAGGAAAATTACGGAAAAGGTAAGTATTCCAATTTTCCATAGAGCCTTCATGGCAGCATACCACGGATCAGATGGACGTAGAATCACACCCCTCAGCGAAAAAAAGCTGTCTTCACTGTGTGATAGGTGAAACTGTGTGCAGGCTACCTGTTCAAATCAGCTACAAAGCGCAAACCTACTGTGTTCTGGCCTGTGCGTGGGTCCTGCAAGGATGTACATTGGGGGCTGTGTTTGGAGATTCATCTGCCTGTCATTGATTTGAACAGGCTGTCCACACCAAACACCTGGGTATCCTGCATGGGTGAAGATGGCCCTTCACACAGGTGAATGGACAGGTGCCCAAAATAAATGCATACGGCAATTCAGTGTCATCCAATTG